GTGCTGATTAACATGGATTTACTGCTGGTGACTCTACAACCACCAAACCACCAATCTGCTGTGCCTCACATCGTTTATTACCGAAAGCATGACTGAACGAGTGAACTATCCACGGTATTCGACAAGTTGAATCATTACATTGAAATTGTTAAACTCCACCAGCTCAACAAACATTTTAGCTACAGACTAGCTTATACAGGCAAAAATTACCTGTATAAGCCAATTTTTGGTTGTATAAGCTAATCAGCAACTAAAAATTGTTAGCTAAAAGATTTGGTGTAAGCGATAATCTTCTAAGTTGGTTCCTGGTCTTACTGGTCGCCAACTAATGGTTGCTATAGGCGATTGCAGATTAGCTAGCTTCTTCGCCACATAAGATATACTCTCAGGGAAGCCATCTGGGACCGTTAATAATTCTACTGTACTTGAACGACGTGCATCTGGTTATCGAAGTCTTCGGTTATCTTTCTACGAGTCCGCTCAATCACTCACTGTCACTTTCTTCAACGTCAGCTGAATGTATTCGTAGTTTAAACCGAATGGTAGTGAATCCAGCCAAGAACTCCACCATTACCAGCCATTACCCCAGAGAAACAAGTCCAATCTTTTGGATCAGGAAGTACCAGACCTTGGGTCCCAAGCTAATTAAAGCACCCCTCGAAACGTAGGAAAATCCACGAACCCCTCATTAAATCTCTGCCAAATTTATAAGGCAAATCCAAACAAACTCAGATTCTAGTATGATAATGTGGTATGCTTATAGATGTAGGTACTTGTAACCAATGGGCAAATCAAGTAATGAGAAGAGTACCTTAGAGAGTCACGAATCCCACCTTTTTTTTCTACATTATGACATTTTTTCTACATTTAATTGGAAAATAGTTCCGTGAACCCCCGGTAATCTGAACATATTTTAGTTTGAACCCCTCTAATCTGCACGTTATGCAAACTAAAAATACAGTGCCAACATTTCAAAGGGGCGTAATTGCATTTGTAAACAATGGCTGTAGCCGTCGATTGCTCGCAAATAAAAGCTCACTCATGAAAATTAATTACACCAACAGGTAGGGTTAACTACCCCATTTCCAGCCTATTAAGCACAACCCGCACTTAGTCTTTCTTCAAACGGAATGCTATTATTACTGATGGCTTCCAAATTTATTTACCTTTCTGTATGTACCAGAAGATTTGATGAAGAGAAACCAATCGTTGAGATATTGTCAAAAGTCTAACCCTGCTTCTTGACGCCAAACTCGGCCTAACGCATTGAAACGCCAATGAATTCACTTTGGCCTATCGAATGAACATAAAAATTGATTCAGTCGGAGCGCTTCTTTTGTTTTTGAGAATAATGGGTGCAAACCTTCTTATCACGCGTTCTCATTGACTTCGTTCCGTAGCTTATTAACTAAGGTATCGTACCAAACGCATAATTGACTTGTTAACTCTGAAATCATGGATTTATTTGAAGTTTTCTGCTCGATAGGCCCAACATGGGCGATTAGACCGAAGTAGTTCTCTACCCTATAGGAATGCTTCCTCTACCAGCTATCATTGTTAATTTTGAGGAGTGAGCTTTTATTTGCGAGAAATCGACGCCATTGTTTACAAAAGCAATTACGCCCCTTTGAAATGTTGGCATTGAATTACACAAAATTAAATGTCATTTAGCACATGGAATCAGGGGAAACATGTCAGAAGGGTCTAACTCGAAACGTAAGCAATGACTTGTATCGTCGGTCTCTTACGAATGACTACATACCCACTCAAACTAACTAAATCATCTGACAGAGAAATGTTTGTTCTATGAACTAGTGTAATCAGATTCCGTGGGTGTGCGGTCATTCAAGAGAAATCGACGTTCAAAGTCATTGTTTACGTTTCGAGTTATACCCTTCTGACATGTTTCCCCTAGCATAAAGTAAAGCAAAATGGAACGATGCGAATCGCGACACAGAATCAACACAAAACAGCAAATAAGGTTACCAGAAACTCGCTTTTCTAATGGTCATAGGATTACTACAAGTTCACATTAAAATCGATTGTTTTGTCGTATAGTGTTTCTTATGTAAAAGAAGGATGAGAAACAGTTCTTCGTCTTTTTTCCTTTATTTAACGTCGGTCTCTGTTCCGCAATCTAGTGCCAATCACCGACAGACATCGATTGCCATCCATTGACGATAATCTAATGTGCAGGAAGGCAGCTTCCACACCTGCGTAGGATATCGCACCCATTCAAACACACATGGGCCGGGACCAACGGCTTTACTTCCCTTCCGAAGGAAGACGTGACCAGAGATTTCTATGCCTCAGAAAAATCCCACCGACCTCGGCTGGGATTGAACCCAGCCCCTTGGGGTGAAAAAGTAGTCACGCTTACTACTACACCACCGGCGCCGGCTATGGGAAACACGATGGTGCTATCAAATTGGAAATTAACACGTACTCAGATAAAGAGGTCCTATAAGAACGCATAAACGGTATGTGTGACCATTTATACACATCATTTTTTTATACATGATCTTCATCAGCTTTTTGTAAGGCGTCTGCTTATTAGTTGACTTATACATTTTATGAATAATCAGCAATAGAAATTTGTCAAAAGGTATAAGGGGATTTCTATCCGTGTAGACCCTCTCTAGTTGGTACCACTGTACCGGTGTAGCTACACCGCAAAAACCGAAAAATACATTATATCGAGGTATGACTGTACCAAAATAACCTTGCATCACAAACCTGACTTTAAAAAGGCCAAAATGGCTTGAAAAACGCCAAGTAGCTTTGAAATGCCAAAATCACATGAAAACCATGAAATGGCACTGAAAACCGAGCTGAAAACGCCGAATAGGTACTAAAAAAGTCCCATTGGGAGGAGTTAACCTTTCTAGGGAAACTAACATTTTCCGGAAATATTTTATTTACTAAACCGCAGGATGCCCTTTCTGAGAAAGGGATTTTTTCTAAAAAGGAACTATTCCGAGATAGGTCCTCCCCATGTGACGTTCAAAAATGCTATCGATTGATAACTCATATGATAAGAACATACAGCTATTAAGATGTCATAACATATATGAGTCATACTTACTGTTCTAAAGAGAGTTATGTTAGTTCCAATCTGGTTGAATAATACCAAATTATATCAGTACATTATGATCCCCTCGTGCTTGTTTAGGAACATCTTATTGAAAACACTGTCCAATAGGTTCAAATGGTAAACAAACGTAGGCGTTTTCATTGTGTGCCCTACGTTCAACAAATGTGAGGAAAGCATTGGTAAATACGTTAATAATAATATACAAATGCTCCTATAAGATTGCGATATCAATCTGAATGTAATTTCACATTACATCGAAGCAGCCGAGTGGTATTATTCATTTGGCTACATGATTATTATTTTCAAAATACGATCTACTTACATGATGGTGTTTCCTCCATGTTTATGTTTCTTCCGACAGCAAATAGTCAGCTGTTAATTGATCACAATTTACACACGATACACTTTATAAAATCGGCAAAATAACTAAATTTTCACACTCCGGTAGGTGTACAAAGTGTCGTCGCTCGAAAGATGAGAAAATGCACCACGACCGAAGAGTGTTCTTTTGTGTTTGACGTATGACGTATGCATTTGCGATGGAAACGTCAAAACAGAATATTCGGCAGGGTTGTACATAAGGTTCAGCTCATGTTACATTGTGGGAAAGTTGCAAAGCGAGATTTGTTTATTTTTTTTTTGTTTTGATTCTTTACTTAGCGATTACGAAATTTTGTGAATGCATAAGTTTCTTGCTAAACAAAATTACAAATTAACTGTGTCAATAAGCATTGTTGAGTAATGCTCATTATTTTATTGCGCAGTCGATGCGTAGGAGTGCTGAAATTGAATCTGAGGTTGAACCGATATAATATTTTTCACGTGAGTTATCGTTGATATCGTGTTCTAGATCGTGTTTGGTATTCATAAGAGACTAACCATTACTTTTGATCATGCGTTCGCGTTTCTGAGTTCGTCCCTGGAATGCTTTTCATTTAGCCGAATGTACCACAGACAAACATACAAAGAATAATCGTGAAACTTTTACGGAAATGATTAATGATTATGCTGTTTATCAACAATATCAAAAGAAATTGATGAAAAGGCATTCTGTAGCTTTTTTTTTTTAACTAACATTCACGTTAAAAAGTTATTTTCTGAGAATGAAAAAAATGCACAGTGCTAAGGTAACATGGTAACACCATAGAGGTAACTCTAAGACAAGTAGGTCCAGAAGAAACGTGCTCAACTTTTTGGCTCACCTCTGGTACTATCTTCGGTCCCAAGCTTGTCGAATCACCCCTCGAAACATAGGAAAAACCAATAACCCCTCATTTTACCTGTCAAACTTTCATAGCGAATCAAAACAAACATTGCGTAGTACTAGAATTTCGACTAGAATAGGGTACGTTAATCGTTTGCTTGGGACCAATAGGCTACTAAAGTGGTGAGCCAATTTAAAATCGTTAGTTTCATATTGATTGTTGGTAACACCACGTGTTAAATTCCATTCATGACATGAAAGATCAGGATCCACATTATGTAAGCATGTCAAAAGACTTTTTCATACTAGCGTGCATTCGAAAAACGCTTCGTTTCATCTTCCATAATGAAGCCGCTGCTTGTATGAAAAATTCGTTACGAACGCCAAACTACGGGCCTCATTTCCCAAGTCGAAACGACGAACTTTTTCATACATGCGTTCATACAAAAGAAATGCTTCGTTTCGACTTGCGCAATGAGGCCCTGGTTCACCAGAAACGTCTCGTATGGAATCAAAATTGGACTTATACGACTTTGGTTTGTAAACATTTCATAAGCGGTGTAAGCGATGCTGAATATTTTTTTTCTTCTCTTCGCCCACGCACACAACGGTACTTTCGGGACGAAAACATCACCGTTTGCATCATCATCATCGCGAATTATTTGCCGACGGACCAAAAACCAATCTCTTCCTCTGCTTTTTGTGCATATGTTTGTCGTTCGTTGTCCGTCCAGCCAATCTGTCAAAGTCGCACTTCAGCAGCAATAGCAACAGAAAGTATCACGAAAATCAAGAAAATGGAAAGTGCCATCGACGTAAAGTTTCCTGCTGGTTCCTTGGTGCCGAAGAATGAGACCGGAGCGCTCAACTTCATCCGGAAGTATCCGGACTTCAATGGAAAGAATGTGACGATAGCAATTCTGGACTCGGGAGTTGATCCACGGGCGAAAGGACTGGAGGTAAGATGGAGATTTTCAGCACGGATTTTTTTTCTCACCTTATCTTTTCCTCGGGAAATGCTTGGTGGGTTGATGATCGTCTACATGCGTAGGTTTTAATGCAGACACAGTACAGGGAAGGAGGTTATAAAAATTGACATTGTTTTGGCAACTCATCGTCTTACGCTTGAGCTATACTACTTTCCTATCAAGGTGCCTTTCTTTTTTATTTCCTGGTAAAACTGAATGATTCTATCTTATCAAAACCGATAATAAAATAATTGTTCTCAACCTTCTCAACTAACTCGGTACTCGCATTATCGACCCGTATCTTGATTAATCCTTTAAATGATCTATCACACAGCTACAATCAATATTAGAATTTAGCATTTTTTTTTTGGATTTTGTTATCGATAACGTTACGTAGATAACGTAGCATACACATAAAAGAATATTAACTGTGTCAAATATGCATTGGCCCGTAATCACTGGAATTTGTTCCGGCCGTATTTCCGGAACCAGTGAAACATTACTATTTTGGTACACTGGCTGCCACGAAATCGTCGAAAGCCCTCGCGGGTCTCCGATCGAAAATAAACAAAACAAGCTAATATGAACAAAACTTTAGAGTCATTTTGCAGCATTATTGGCGAACTAAAAACAGCCAACCACCCACCTATCCCTTCCAATGTCGAACATGTAGTCTGCATGTGACTAGTTAGCCATTACTGATCCTTTATTATCGGCCTTGTATTCATTTGCGCTCTTATTGCTCCACATAGCCGAGATTCAACGGGAATTTTGCCGAGATCTCAGCTAACAAACATAAATTTTGCTGAATCTCGGCAAGAAATGACTAAGTGAAACCTCTCTCAATTTTCCTCATATTCGACAATTTCTTCCTGCAAAATCTAGGTAAATTTTACTCAGTCTATGAGAAACCTACCTGGTTTAATCGGCCGATTAGATAATGAAAACATAAGAACTGCTTTCAAAATATATATACGTTCCTCAAACTGACACAAATGGCAGCATAACTTGTTATAACAGGTTATAACTAGACGAAACTTTGTAGCAAATTGCCTGGAAAAACTCCCTTCTGGATTGCGAGAAAAAGGAGTGTCGCAAGGGATCAAGTGTGTCAAGCAGGCTGTCCCATTTTTTCGCAATGATTTCAGATGTTTGCTTCCCACCAAAAATTTACTTCCTATGTACCCCAATAGACTCTGTGACTCAGCTCATTTGATCATAACAGAACCTGGCCCAATGCACTTTCGTGAAAACATGCCTTTTTGACTCATAAGTTTGATCGCTTATAAATCACCAAAAATTTTTAAATCTACTTCAAACCCAAATTTTGTATGGCTTCTGCAAAGTCTACAGAATAACTTCTCTGGAGATAGTGGGTGCCTAAAATAATCGTAAAAAATATATAAATAAAAGTTAACTGACTTGCACCAAAATATGGATGCAAGTTTTCACTAGTTTCCATGCCAAATCATAGTTTACAGCAAAACTTTGATCTCTAAGTAGGTGTTTATATACCTTGGCTGTAAAACGTATAGTTTAGACGTTATTCAGTTCGTTTAGATTCACATTTAGAAGGTGCAGTATCGATTTCAATGATAGTGCGCCTGACAAAATTTGATAAATCTGGAAGAATGTTCTGCGGGGTTTAATGAATAAAATATACAATGAATTCCATTTCGGAAAAGTTGCGATCGCTATATTTGAAGCAAGGGGGGTGACTTTATTGAGATGCGCGCACGCTTAGTAGATAGTTGATGAAGATTTTAAAGATTTTCTACAAAAAATTATAGAGCGATGCGTGTAAATGGAATTAGATGAAAGAGATGAAAAAAGATTTTTCGTAGATTGATTCGCTAACGTGAGAGCTTCCGACCATCTAAAATTGAGATTTAGATGTGTTGCACCCTCAGATTTGAAGTTAAGGCGATACGATCCAAAGGCCCAGCCTCTGATGCCACATCACATTTTCTAGGGGAACATACAATAATAAAACTGCTTCCCCATGTGTATGATGATGCTTATTTGATGCCTTAAATCGCAGTAGTGTCTGAGATTATTCACTCCCTAGAAAACTCGAAGTGGCAATGCAAGTGCCTGTGAATTATGGACGCTGGATCGTATCACCTTAAGGCTGTGAACCATTTGCCGAGTTAAATTTAATTCATGGTTAAAAGTGACATTTCGAAAGTTATTTCTTATGTTCGAAAATCCCTGTATTATCGATCGATCGGTTTTCGAGCAGAACTCAGCCACTGTTGTTAAAATTTAATTTCTTGTCTGTCAGAAATAACCACGCTCGGATAGCTGAGTTAATCGATAACTTTCCATCTGTCAAATTTTAACCAAAAGTTTAAAAATCCGGCGAATTGTTCAGAGCCTAAGAGCATTTGGCGCGTATTTTCTGTTTGTTTACAATCATTAGATGTTATAATGATAATTAGTACTTGTAAGTTACAAGAAGAGATCGTTAAGTATGCGTTTGACACATAAAACGTGTCAATAATGCTTTCAGTGCGTCGCAATCAGCGATTTTACGATTCGTGAGCGCTCACTCTGAGTGAACGCTCCAGAGTCATAAGATCGCTCATTGTAACGCTCTGCAAGCGAAATTGGTTTGGCCTTTTCTTGTTATTTACAAGTACTACATCGTCTAATGATTTCATAATTCCGAAAAACATTTTTATAGCAAGTTAGTGGAAGCAATCCTGCTCCCAAACAATAGTTTTCCTTAATAAAAGCTTTCCATCTTGAACCACACTTGCATTGTTCCCATAACTCTTATCAGGTGACAGTATTCTGCACGTCAGTTTCTGTTTTATCATTTACCATCACATCCATCACATGCAAGGAGTAGCGCTTCAACCCAGTGTAGATTTTTTTTTTTTTTTTTTTCCTTTGGTTTGTTTTTTCCGTCGATCTTGTTTTCCGTGCTGAGCACCAATGCTACCGACGTGCCAGGAAGGCAGCTCCCACACCTGGACCCTACCTATCGACCCATCAACTCATGAACCGGGGACCAACGGCTTTACTTCCCATCCGAAGGAAGGCGTGATCAGAGATGTTATGCCTCAGAACATCCCGGCGGCGCCGACTGGGATTGAACCCAGGCCTGCTGGGGTGAGAGGTAATCACGCTTACCACTACACCACCGGCGCCGTTGACCCAGTGTAGATGAATTGCGTTTGTTTTGAAAATCTTCGTTTGTGGATATTGTCGACCCCAAAACCTCGATATTATCATAAATTCAGCATGAGGTAATAATTTTGCATCGATCTGTGTGAAAAAACCAACATGACACGTTCTTCAGCGCTATATTTGTGAAAAATTGAAAATAACACGCAGAAAAAACTATCGTCGAAACAAAAATATTTGAGGTAAATTTAAACGTAAACTCAGTTTGTTCTAGCCACAAAAATAAATTAGGTTGATTTCAAACGTATTCCATGTTTGAAGTCATGTTAAATTAATGTTTAAAATAAAAATAATGTTACGTTTATTTTAAAAATATCCGTGTTGAAAACAAACGTATTTGTTTTTGTTTGGTTTGACAGCTATGCGAACAAAAATAAATATATAAATATTTTGAAATTATTTTAATGGTTGAGTGCAGGGTAAAGCAAGATAACACGTATTGCAAAGAAATAAAAAAAAAAGATCTTCGGGCAGGGCATCTAAATTCCTGCTCTTTCACCCTGCGATTAAGGGTGACCTGTGGGTATTAGGGTTTTGAGCCGGGATGCGGGGACCCGTCGTAGTGGGTGTCCGGGGGTTCCAGTTCAGTGGAACCGGTGAAAATTTGTTATATTAGCGTCGTTTTGTTCTGCCACTAGTCGGTTTCTTTATACATTCGGTATCGGAGGGAGGATCCGGAATGGATTCAAAATCCATTTGGAATTTTCGTTGTCCTTTCGAAGTCACGTGTGGAGGAGGATGATATAGGGATCGGCATGAGAAACTGAAGTTGATACTGTGGGGTTCCGCCGAGCTGGTTTCCGGATCCATCTTCGGTTTTGCACGAGTTTTGCAACTTTCGGGCCGTTTTTTGTTGAGTTGAGCAAAGGTGGGGCTACTTTTTCCGAATGTATACCAAAAAGGAAATAAAAAAAGGCATGATACGCTAAAAACCGTTTACCCAAATCCTATATTGTTGAAATAAACATGCTTTTGAATTTAATTTAAACATAAATATTTTAGTTTTAAACATGCTTTCAATTTACTTTGAATAATTCATATGTTTAGAGTATAAACATTTATATTTTTGTTTTAAATGAACAAAATTTGTATCCGTGAATCATATTTTGCATTTGATCCTCAAAATCATCCCCACTCTCGTCCCCACCAAGATGAAGAGGAATATTAATATTGACAACAACAGAGGCGATAATGAACATCTACACGGAGATGAAAAACTACCCAAAATTAAGTACTTTTCCCTCAATTGCGGGGTTCAGCCCAATAACCCAAATTTGAGTAAATCGCTATTCTTAAGTATATTCTACCCAAAATTAGGTTTAATTCGCGTAAATTAAAGAATATGCAATTTACTCAAAACTAACTTCTTCGGCTAAACTGTATCGTTGGGTTGAATCTCTCGTTCCTTTTTTGACAACAATAAAGAGTGCAAGTGAGAGGCTGAACCTAGGACTGAACTCAATATTAAGTAAAAAGAACTCAAATTTTTGGTAGTATTTTTTCTCCGTGTAGCCACGAACTGAATAAAAAAACAAATCGACAGTGAGCATGAAAAAGGGCGTAAATGCGATGATCGATTCTCTTCGTCAATTTTCTCTTTTGTTAATAACTTGCTAGATGTAATGTTTCTCGGTGCGTTTGCTGCTAGGTTTGCTGTTGATTTTGATAGTCAATACAACCTGTTACAACTATGCATTGAACAAATTCTAGAAAATTGTTTCGCTTAGCTGTAGCAATGCAAAGAAAAAATCGATGAAGAGAATCGATCATCGCGTATACGCCCTTATGCATGCTCACTGTCGAAATGTTGACTTCGATACTCAGAGGTTGCCTTGATCAAGAGAATGTTGTTGTGACTAAATTGAGGGGGTTAGAAGGAAAAGGTGTAAGTGACTTTGATCGATTCTCTTCATCGACGTTCTCTTTTGATAGCCACAGCCTTATGAACAGATTTTGCGCTATTTCTGCCACATAGTTTGATAAAGGAGGTTCTCATCTAGCATCCAGAATGGCACACGAATCAAGGAATGTGTTTGCAGCTGAAGTATTAACGAAAGAGAAAGTCGGGTGAAGAGAATCGATCAAAGTCAGTTACACCCCTTTACTTCTAATCCCCTCAATTCAAATTCATGCAGGTAGTTTTTCTATCTGTTAAGGTTGTCTTCATTTTCAACAAGTTGAGTGTAAAAGAAATGATTTTTATCAACACTCTTGCCCAGTAGTAAGCCGACCTTGAGACCCAGTGCATTAACCGTGAACAGACACTAGAGTTAATGTTGAATGTTGCATTAGAATACTTTAAATCGTTTTAAACTTAAATGTTCCCTCATTACCCATCCGTTGAACCCAGCCCAGTGGCAGGCGCGTAGGCAACATATTTTACCGTGACAGCGGGCCCAGCACAGCAAAATAAACGATTTGAGCCCGGGACCTCGCCCGGGACATGCTGTCTACTGTCAAACGCTGCTGTTGGTATAGGCCTTGTCACTGGCCTGGTTGAACCAGAGTTAAAGCCCAAACGCAATGTGGGCGGAAGCGGAACGGAAACGGAAAGTTTGACAGTTGTCACAAATGACATCAAGCTGCCTAGTCGAAGTCGATTTGGTTCTAACTTGTTTTCAATCCGACAAGTAGGCTTACTCTGATCGGGCTTTTCCACTGCCGCTGCCGTTCCGCTTCCGCTGTCATTGCGCTTGGGCTTTAATGTTATAATAAGAGCCCCGCCTAGAGTGAAGCATAAACTACCAATCGAAATGTCAAGCGGGGTACCAAACAAGCTAAGTAAATAAGTCTGTCCACGAGACAGTTGCGATCAGCTGACTTTTTTATTTACCAAGAACTTTTGACAGATCACAGTAGAGCTGGCAGTTTGTTCTCATATGAATTTCTGCTTTGTTTATGTTTACATTCAGCACCATAAACACCAGATCACTCACACTCTAGATTTATAGCTGTCAGTTCCACTGAGAAACGTCTTTTGGAACACTTTATAAACATGGTTGTTCCCACAGCCAGTGAACTACAAGTCATTCGTTTGCCGCCATTGTTATAAAGCACACGTTTTTTGGTTATTGGAAGTGAAAAGTAAAATTTTTTCTTGAAGACAAATAAGTGTACGGTAGAGCTCTACCATAGAGGTAACTCTAAGACCACTGGGTCCCGAAGAAAATCATTATTATTTTTGGCTCACTCAGTACCAGAACAACGGTCCCAAGCAGTCCCAAGCTATTTCACTCACCCCTGCATGTTCTGCATGAATCCACACACCCCTGATGTTATCTGTCAAACATTCATAGCGAATCAAAACAAACATAGTGTAGTAATAGAATTTCAACTAGAATAGGGTACGTTAATCGTTTGCTTGGGACCAATAGGCTACTAAAGAGGTGAGCCAATTTAAAATCGTTAGTTTCGTATTGATTGTTGGCTCTACTTCATCGTAATCGCCCATTTCCGTTCGTTCAGAAAAGATCAATAATATCAATGATTTCACCGTGCACAAATCAATAATAGGTTTGTTCCGATGCGCTAGTTCATTAGCTACAACATAAACCCTGTTAGAGCTCATTGTATGATTATTTACGCTCATTGTTCTCAAAACAAAAGAAGCGCTCCTAGCGAATCCCCTTTTTCTACGTTTATCCGTAGGACGAAGAAAATCTAATGGCGTTTCAATGCGTTAGGACGGAATTGAAACTCATAGAACGAATTAAGAATCAAGAAGCAGTGCTAGATTTTAGACAATCAAGAGCAAATTTTCATTATGTCGTAAGTAACATTCGCACCAATCCGAGAAAAATAAAGTTTTGTTTTGATGGCTGAAAAGTTATTCCTATTTCCAAGTAAACACATATAATCTCATAGTGATAGCAATGTTCAACATATTTAGCAGGGTTTTAATCATACAAATGCAAATCGCTAGCTTTCATGCTAAAAAACACTGGTTTTTGAGTCAAAAGTTATTATACGTCGTTTGGTGGCCCCTATTGTTACTTAAGTCAAAGTGTATTTACCAGGATATTCGGGAGAATTATTAATTACGTCTCCTTACGTGCAGCCTACACACTTAGAAATTATCACCGGCTTCGGTAATTTTTACCGAAATCTGAACAGCTGAGCTATTCGGTAAAATTTATGCAATTCAATTCAATTGCTTTTCAGCTACTTCGAAACTAAATCTCCACTAAAATGACAAGATTTTATCATTTAAACAAGGTTGAACATGTTTTGAAATTATTTTCAAGTTCAATAGCCTGTAAAATGAAGTTCAAAGTTTTACCGAACGTTCAGCTGTTCTGATTTCGGTAAAATTTACCGAACACGAAAACAAAATCTTAGTGTGTATTCATCATTTTACACACTTAAATATTTTCGCCGAGATTCCAACAGCCGAGTAATTCTGCAATTTATTTTACTGATATTCAGTAAAACAATTGCCGAGACTCAGCTAACAAATAACATTTTGCTGAGCTGTCAGCTAACAAACAGATATTTTGCAGAGATATCAGCAAAAGAGAATGCCGAGGTAATCGGCTTTTGGAGATTTTACCGAGCTAGATTAAGTGTGTAGGACCACCGAAATCATCTTAGCAACAAACAGTTCGATTTATTCACTTTAATAATGAGAAAGCGAAACGACGAACGTACACTTTTCACGGGTTTCTCAGCGCTGTTACTTAAGTCAAACGGCATCTCCATAGAAATTGGGTGACTTAAGTAACATCGAAAACTATTTTGATCGAAAGGTGATTACGTCAAAAAGCAATTTGACTGGTAAATAAATTTAAAAATGGGATTTGATCCTATATTCAGACAGTATATAGTGTAATAGCAGGAGAATCGATTGACACTGATAGCTCGACTTTGTTTACCTTTGTTACATTCGACGTAATGAAAATTTGCTCTTGATATCTCATCAATTTGTGACTATTTATCAAATCCAACGGTACATATGGAAAGGTGAATAAATTTGCAAGTCATTTTTGACAAAAATATTCCATTTTTTGTTTAAATTCGTTCAGAAAAGAGAGGTAAAGCGCGAAATATTCGCTTTTTGTGGAAGCAGTAACATTAACCAACAGTTTATCAGTGGACTGAAACGGAAATCAGTGTAATTGTTATTCGCTGCTGAGCGAGTAACATAACCTCAACCATGCCGACAGGGGATCCGCCCCCCGATACGGGAGGCAGCGGGAACAAGCAGAAAACTCACGAAGTCTACGAATACCGCCAAAACGATGTCGGGCCGTTTCGGCTGATTGTAGAGCTACTCGACGACAAGGAAGGCACGATCCGTATCAACAAGCTGACGCTTGGAAAACTGCTGAGCAAAACAAAGGACTACAAGGACAATATCATCAACATGCGTCCAATGGGACTGAAGAAACTTCTGGTATTTGTCAGGAACCTAAGCATTGCCAACCGTCTGCAAGGAGATAAAACTATGAAAGAATGCAACTACATGTTCTACGTACCAAAAAGTTTCCTGTCAGTAACGAGAGTCATCGCCGGGGTGCCGGCAGACATGACGGATGCTGAAATTATGGAAAACATGTCATGCGAGGTGCCCATTATGAATGTTTACCGCTTACAGCGCTATGTCGACAATCAGAAGCTACCAAGTAACAGGATCAGCGTAACTTTCCGTACGAACAAATTGTGGGCAGTGGTCATGCTGTACTGCTGTAACAATCGAGTCATGTCATTCATCAACAAACCGGTCCTATGCGGCAACTGTCTGCGATACGGACACAAAACGGATTCCTGCAGATCGAAGAAGCGATACGCAGTTTGCGCGCAACAACATGAGGCATGGATTTGGGAGATTGCAACAACAAAAAGTTGTGCCTGTACTGCAAGAAGAAGCACAAAACCACAGACCCCAACTGCCCCGAATGGAACAAACAGAGGAACATCAAAACAATCATGGCGAAATCCAACATGACGTATCTTGAAGCAAAGGAACTGAGCCCAATCTTCACACAGAATCGTTACGATTTGCTGGAGGAACTGTCGGAGTCACCAACGCCAGCCGAGAGCTTTGCTGCCATGGTAGCAGGAAAGTACAAAACAAAGGATCAGAACCAGTACAAACCGCAGCCGCAGAAGAACAAGAGAGCCATGAAGGATGTGAACATTGCAGATTCCGTCACAATCTACGCGGACAAGAAGCAGAAAACTGACAAACCTGTTGAGCAGACAGGCGTCGCGCTGTTCAATAGGTATTCAGTGTCAGAGTTTGAACGATTTGCAGCTCAGTTCGAGAAGCAACGACAACAGTTGTTGAACGAACAACTCTACAAAACAAATTCAAGAAGCACCGGACCAGCGGTCAGGAAAAGTTCGGCCAAACAGCGAGATCATCACGCTCACAGTCAGATGTACCGTGGCAAGACGAGAGGGAATCGATAGGTGACGAACCGTAAGTGACAATGAGTACCAATTTTACAATATTTCAATGTAATATTCAAAGTATGCAAAAGAACAAGGATGAATTATGCAGAATATTAATACAAGAACAATAAGAAGTAGCTTTATTATCTGAAACTTGGAGCAAATTAGAGTTAGAAAAAACTAAATACAGAATAACGAATTATCATACTTACCTTAACTCTAGAGTGGATGGTTATGGAGGAACCGCCATCCTAATAGACAAACGATACAAATCAAGAGAAATACAAATCCCTAAATTTGATCACATACAATGTTTAGCAAGAGAAATACTTAGCATAGATCTAGTAGTCGTTTCAATTTATATATCTCCTAGCATTAGTACGAACGATATGAATAATAGCCTTAAACAAATCTTCGAGAAGATCAAAAGTTTTCCCAAAGTAGTTTTTGGTGGAGACTTTAACTCTCATCATTTTGCATGGGACCCTAACAACTCGGATCCCAAGGGTGCGGTTGTAATGGACCTAGTCAACGAGTATAACTTCCTGCTACTGAACCAAGGAGAAGCTACTTTCATTCCAGCGGAACTACACAAGAAACCATCGGCGATTGACCTGGTACTGGCGACACCTGCAATCTATCAAGTTCTGAATATGACGGTATTGGATTTTGGCACAGGAGTCAGTCGACACTTGGCTCTAATAACAGTCTATGTGGGAAAAGCCAACAAACCTACTGGTTTTTTCATTAATCAGAAAAAAGTTAAGGAAGAGCTGAGTAAATTACAAATAGAAGAGATAGAGAACATGAACGATCTACAATCAAGAGTTAGAATCATTACAAAAAACGCAAAGCAGAAGAACATGCACATACCAAAACATTGGTGGTGTGACGAAGTTGAACAAGCCTGGCTCCACAAAAAGGAAGCCAGAGCCATTTTCAACAGGACAAGCGGTATGGCGGAACTGATTGAGTTCAAGAAAGCGGAATGCAATTTCATCAGATTAAAAAAGAAATATTCCGAAGAAAGCTTTGAAAAATTTGTAAAATCAATTGATCCAAGTATACCGTCGAAAATTATCTGGAACGACATTCGAAGACTCACCGGACGAAAAAAGAAGTCAAAGGACCTCACAGACAGAAACCGAACACGAAGACAGAAACCTGGCACAGCAATTTTTGAATAAACACTTTCCATATGAGGAAGCATCTAGCATCAAAGGACTGCAATACCAAAACAACAACGAAATAATGACGAGAGAAAAATTGGACAACTTTTTGCAGCGGAAAAAACGCTCGTCAGCTCCAGGGCCTGATGGGATCAGTTATGAAATAATGAAATCACTACCTCACGAAGTTCAAAACCTAATAATTCGGGAATTGAACGACATCTGGAAAACTGGAAGGTTCCCAGTGGATTTGAAATCTATTAAAATAATAGCAATTCCCAAACCAGGGAAAAATCCTGAGTCGGTTGAAGGAACTAGACCTTTATCGATGATAAACTGCACACTAAAAACTTTAAATGGAGCTGTCCTCATGGACTATCAAGAGCATATTGAAAAACATAATATACTACCAGTATTGTCCTTCGGTTTCCGCAAGAAGATGTCCACTAGCACCTGTTTAAGCTTTGTAATCAACGAAATACTAAGAATCAAACGGAGGAATAAAGTGGCAGCGGCCATTTTCATCGACCTATCCAATGCAGTGCAGTTGAAAAAAATGGAACTAATATTGGCAAACCAAAACACCCCAAGACAATTCATTAATTACTTCTCTGCATTCCTCAAGGATAGAAAGTTACGGTTCCGGGCTGGGACAGAAACAATTGTGAGAACAGTCAGCAATGGGTTACCCCAAGGTGATATTCTATCACCGACGCTATTCAACGTATACACCAGCAAGCTGCACCAAATACAAGTAGAAGGTGTTGTATTAGTGCAATACGCGGATTATTTTGGAGTTATCGTGGAGAGCAAGAACATTGAAGAAGTGCAACTTAGCAGGGGGCGACCCCGGCGTAGTGGTTAACATCCATACCTCTCACGCCAAAGTCACGTGTTCAAATCTCACCCCCCGGACAGGTCACGAATGACCCAAGAGTGTTAAAGTGACTATAATAAAAAAAAAAAAAAAGTGCAACTTAGAGGGCAGGAATTTATGGACAAATTTGTCGGAAAAGCTCATGAACTGAATTTCACTATTAATGCTAGTAAAACAAAAAGCATAATCTTCCAAGCCAACAACAAAGAACTTGGAGTTATTATCAACGGCGAAATAGTTGAAACGGTTCGTAACCACAAATATTTGGGAGTGACTCTGGATAAATCTTTATCATTCGGATGTCACATCCGTGACCTGAAACAGAGGACAACGGAACGGCTCAACATGATAAAGGTGATAAGCGGAAGCACTGGTAATAAACTTCTTCGAGTACGGAACGACTATCTACAGTATAGCATGCCAAAGTAACCTCAATAGCCTAGATACCCTCAACAATCAATGTCTTCGAAAGGTAACCGGTTGTACTAAGAGTACCCCACTCAATACACTCCAAGCGATTGCAGCTCAGGATCCACCACAGTTCCGAAGGCTGCTGATTGCAGGCAAGGAGCTTATCAATCATTGCTACAATGATTCTGTTGTTTGGCATCAACTGCGGGACAACCTGGAAGGAAACATTGATAACAAAAAAAAAGCACTTACATGGAAAAAACTCTTTTGGAACACGAGAAAATTTTCACTCAGTTGTCTACCTTAACAATATCATCGGAACGATGGGATTCGGTAGAGATAAAAACTATGTTACACGACGAAGTTTGGACAAAAAATAGCACATCAACGAAAGTTCTAAAACAACTGACTCTAGGTCTTATCCATGGTAAATATGCAGGTAGACAGATAATTTACACAGATGCGTCAAAATTCGAGGAAACCTGTGCACAGTGGTTTGAATGCTCAATATCACGAACTTTTTTATTTGCGCCTTCAATGTTGGTTTTTTCACTATGGTGTGTTTAAAAGAGTTTTTGCATAAAATAAGGCGCAAAGACTAGTGATAGGTTTTAGTTCGGAACTCCACCACAGGCGGCGCTGCAAAATCTAACTTTTTGCACTTACAAGATAGGTATGTGATGTCTTGAGCAAAGTTGTAGATAATTTTACTACAAAAATCTTTGCTCAACACACAAATCCTCTATATTCCTTAGTTTTTGAGAAACGTAGCGTTTAATATGACTGTTCAACAAAATTTAATTTTTTTCATTTTTATAACATATTAAAAAAAATATAGGTTTTAGAAGACTATAATGTTCAACAAATATATGTATTTTATCACAATACAAAACTTTGTTCAAGACGTCCAAAAGGTATTGATTACACAGGCTGAGTTATTCACAAATTTAGTAAAAAAAATTACATACTTTGTGCTCTCACAGACAGAAATCCGGCAAAATCCGGCAGGTGAATCTTGAATAGGATGAAAGCTTGTTTAAAAGTGATCTCAATTTCCATTGAAACATTTGTCCCTTTTAGTATCCTCGTTGATTATTTTGCATTTCAAAAAGGTCTTGATCAGAGTAATTGCCATAATACTCATCACAGTAGTCTACTTGAAAATAATATATAATTTTCAGTTAGTTATTATTATATTATAATTAAATGATTTAACGTATTACGTTATACATCATTGTATGCATGTATATATGAATATTTCAAAAATATTAACAAAGGTTACACAATATTGTTATCAAACACATTTTCATCTTTCTCTTCCACATCAAGCATGTATTTCGCATCACTACAGAGGTCATTAATCGGCTTGTCTCGAGATGCTCTAAGGCTGCTGATGAGAGGATCAGAAAATGTTCCCATATGATTCCAATTTGATCGGCACAATGGATGTAACAAACATATTTGCATCGGATTTAGTTCCGTCATAATCGTCAAGTGCTTGCTTGTGTTCACTTAATCCAGTTGTGCCATCAAATCCCCACTTAATCATCATTTTCTCCAATTCGTCATCACTAAACTTTTCCAGCATGCACGCATTTGCATCAACAATCCTCATTGTCGTGTGCTCCAAGAGATCCTTTAGTTTCACTTCTGCAGACGTTTCCGAAACTACTAACCCTGTATTGGGATAACAGCACTTTTTAGTTTGCAGCACTTTGTAGTAGGACGGATACAAAGGCACATTCCGATCCAGAGCTCCATTACGAAGCTTTTCGTATTGGTCTTTCGATAAATTAAGATCCAATATTAACGCAAGAGCTTCCGTCTCCGAATAGGGTACAAAGCCATTTTTGGATGACTGCAGAGCCGAACCCATTGTCGGAGTTGTTTGCGTTGCCTGTTTTACAATGAACGCTGCATCTTCTTTACCATCCTCACGTAATTTCATTTGGGTTGCAAATGCACGTTCATCTGTTGAGTAGTTAGACCGCATTGCAGACGTCTTGCGTCTCTTAACAACCTCGCTGCTTTCTTCGAACGCCATAGATTTTCTTCCACGACGGGAAGATCCAGAAGTACAAAAGAAACGATCAACAGCTTTCTGTGGTAGTTTGAAGGGGCTATCAAAATAACCACGACTGCTTTCAAGCATAGTCCGGTTGTGGGTTTCTCACAGTTTTTTTTTTTTAATTTTTGCATGTCGCCTTCACAAAATGGTTGATTTCAGCTGCCACTTGTGTCCAGGGAAGTTTTTGAGTGTTACGGCATTGATTATGCTTCAATGCCGTAACAGTCAATAACTTCTCTCGACACAACGTTTGATTTATCAATGTCGTTTCCCTTAAATTCTTTCCACAGTTTAAAAAGCTTTCGCCTGTCGATTTCAACTGAAATTTTATTTGATAACTTATAATTTAAACTATTTTTGAAATTGTCACAAACAAATAACTTCCATAGATAACTCATTTATATCATGAATTGGAAATTAACACTGAATACCTTATTAACTACATGGTTGTACTTACCTTCATTGTTGATAGACATGCTTTTCTCACTTTTGGGATCTGCTACGGAAATGTTGAAAAAATAACCTTCACATTTTCTAAGTAATATGCGTTTAATGCTGCAAAACCGATCAATGTGTGACCAAACTTTGTTATATTATCACTGAGCCTACTTTGATTCAGTATTTGACAAATGCGCGCTGACACTGAACTACGGAACGACCTTTTAAAAATACAAAACAATCAACGAGGATACTAAAAGGGGCAAATGTTTCAATGGAATTTGAGATCACTTTTAAACAAGCTTTCATCCTATTCAAAATTCACCTGCCGGATTTTGCCGGATTTTTGTCTGTGAGGGCACAAAATATGTAAAAAATTTTTACTAAATTTGTGAATAACTCAGTCTGTGTAATCAATAACTTTTGGACGTCTTGAACTAAGTTTTGTATTGTGATAAAATACATATATTTGTTGAACATTATAGTCTTCTAAAACCTATAGTTTTTTAAATATGTTATAAAAAGTGAAAAATATTAAATTTTGTTGAACAGTCATATTAAACGCTACGTATCTCAAAAACTAAGGAATATAGAGGATTTGTGTGTTCAGCAAAGATTTTTGTAGTAAAATTATCTACAACTTTGCTCAAGACATCACATACCTATCTTGTAAAGGGTGTCCACGATGAAATTGCCACACACAAAATTGATTCGCAAAATTCGAGTTTTCATCCGATTGCCATCAAATTTTCAGGGATTGAGAAATAACTATTAAACCTTATTTTACCATTTTACTCGTATTTTATTTACAGTCCATACGCAAATGCCCGCACCTTGGCCTTAACCCCGGCCATAAGATTCTGCACAACCTGTGAATCAACCGTTTTTTGCATGTAAACCCATACTTTCTTCAGTTCCTCGACTGTCATCACTACCTTAGGTCGTTTAAGAAGGTGCTGCTTCATAATCGCCCAGTACTTCTCGATGGGGCGGAGCTCCGGAGTGTTGGGAGGGTTGAACATTTTCGGCACGAAATTGACCTTATTGTCCGCATACCACTTCAGCACGTCCTTGGAGTAGTGGCATGAGGCCAAATCCGGCCAGAAGATTGTTGGGACGTTGTGGGCCTTCAGGAGAGGAAGCAGCCGCTTCTGGAGGCACTCTTTTATGTACACCTGTCCGTTCATCGTGTCCTGGGTCACGAAAGGTGCACTCCGCTTCCCGCACGTGCAGATGGTTTGCCAAACCAGGAATTTCTTCGCAAATTTGGACATCTTCTGAGTGCGGACATGCTCCGGAACGCTGAACTTATCCTTGGCCGTGAAAAACAGGTTGCCGGGGATCTGTTTGAAGTCGGCCTTCACATATGTTTCGTCGTCCATGATGCAGCATTCAACTTTCGTCAGCATGTTGAGGTACAACTTCCTGGCACGGGTTTTGGCGGACTTGTTCTGCTTCTCGTCGCGATTAGGGGCCTTTTGTACCTTGAACGTTCGAAGCCCAGCCTTAGTTTTGGCCTTCTGGACAAAACTTCGGCTTAGGTGCAGCTTCTTAGCCACATCCCTAACGGAGGCGTTCGGATTTCGGTTGAAGGCCCCAACTACGCGGTTGTGATTTTTGGTGTTGTACGGAATACTTTTTCCTTCACTTCTGGGCTTCCGATCGGTGGTCAACCGTTCCTCGAACCGCTTAATCACTCGCGACACCGTGGAATTCGCGATTCCCAACGTTTTAGCGATGGAACGATGCGAGAGATCCTTGTTCTCGTGATGAATGCGCAAGATGTTATCACGCACGAGCTGTTCTTTCGACTCCATTTCCGCGAGTTTCGATCACAGGACTTTAAAACTTGCAGGATGTAAATAATGCACTATGAACTAAATCCACCCAAATTTTCATTAAATTCTACCCAACGGTTAAAAAGTTAGAGCAATTTCATAGTGTGGCAATTTCATCGTGGACACCCTTTAAATGCAAAAAGTTAGATTTTGCAGCGCCGCCTGTGCTGGAGTTCCGAACTAAAACCTATCACTAGTCTTTGCGCCTTATTTTATGCAAAAACTCTTTTGAACACACCATAGTGAAAAAACCAACATTGAAGGCGCAAATAAAAAAGTTCGTGATATTGAGCATTCAAACCACTGTGCTGTGGGGTGGGTGTATACCACGAACATAGGAATTTTCGACTGTCGCTGAAACTACAGAACTCGGCATCGATCATGTCGGCAGAGCTGGAGGCAATCTACATTGCGTTGCAGTACATTTCCAAGAATCAAATTATGAAGGCAGTGATTATGACGGATTCGAAATCCGGTTATAATTCCTACTGCACGACAAAACATGGGATGAAGTTGCTGAAAGAATACTACAAGCAGCAGATGAAACAAGAACCAGTATTCAGTGGATTCCAGAACATGCAGATGTTAGTGGGAATGAAATAGCGGATCAGCTGGCCAAGTCGGCTTTGAATCAGGATTCGACGGTAGTTAATAAAATTCTGAAGCACGATGCGGTGAACTACTTCCGTCAGCTAACGGAACTACGGTCACAGGAATGGTATGTTAATTATACGTCGGAGCTGGGCAAAGGCAGAAAATTCTTCACACTACAGAACACGATACCGAGAAAGCCATGGCACCATGGGTTAGGACTGGCAAACGGTGAGGTACGCACACTGAACAGAATATTAGCTGTACATGACTACTCCAAGCACGGACTATACAGAATCAAGCTAGAAGACGACTGCATATGCGATCTATATGATGAAGTTGAAGACGCCATGCATGTGATCCTATTTTGTATCAAATACCTGAACACTAGAGCTAAGCATGGTTTAGATAAGTATACCTCACTCCAAGAAATATATGCTACAAGAAATACAACTGTACTCAAAAATGTCACACGGTTCTTGAAGGAGATAACAAAAATATTGTAAGCAGTGTAAACATCACTAAGGAAGGTATAAACATTACTAAGGAAGGTATAACAGCGGCAATTCGGTCGTGAACGTCAATCTCGACTACTAAGTTTGATGTGTCGTAAATAAACCAACGAAGAAGAAGAAGAAGAAGAAGAAGAAGAAAGTCCAAGGGACTCAAAAGAGTATTGGTGGTGATATAGCTTTTCTGCTGTGCCAAAGAAAAACAGAGAAGAAGAAGAAGAACTACAAGTATTGCATTCATTACTGACAATATTTTATTAATTTTAGATGAAAAACATTTCTTCGCTTTATTTAGTACATTGTAGTATTTGTAAGTTATACCAAGCACTTGTTTGAACATTTATCAGGTTCTATAATTGTTTGTTTAGCCGTGTAGAGATAATTAATTTTTGATCACAATAGAGCAATTAGGGGCCCTCCATAAAATGATGTACCATAGCGTATTTCAGTATACCTAATACATGGCTGGCACAACTTCTGAAACACCCCCTCTTCCCCCTCAAATGCTACATGTTTGTTTGTATTGTTGTCTTGCCTCGCTTTCCCCTATCAGGTAGCATTCGGAGTAATGGCATTTTGGGGTACTGATTTTCTAACCAGTGAACCGGGAAATCGGGAAAACCGGGAAAAAGTCTGGAATCCGAAGTCACTGGGAAGAAACCAGGAAAAACTCGTGAATTTTGATGACAAATCGGGGAAAAATATATACTTTGTCAGTTTGTCTTCCCTTCGAAAATAATAAGATTTTGGACCTTGAACAGATTTCAAGACCCTTGGACTCGGCTAGATTTATAGATACAGTCATTTTTTTTTTATTAGAGAGATTTTTAGCCATAGGCTAGTTCATCTCTTAAGATAGATACAGTCACTTTGAAGAACAATTAAGAGAATTTAATAATTTTATTCCCTTGGGAATTTTGAGGAGGTTTTAGAACGAATTCTACGAATAACACTAAGGTATTTTAGAGAAAATATTTCCAAGGGGAACTCTACGAATTTGTATTCATGTGTCGTCTAAGAATGGGTCTAAGGAGTGGGCCTAGAACTCCAAGTCAACTGTGTGAGTTCGGTGTAGAATTTCATGTAGCTCTGTGGAAAATTTCATGAAGAGGATTTCATGATCCGTGACAAAAAAAACCAAGGGATTTAAATTTTGAGGGTGCAATTTCAAAGGAATTATGAAAAGAGATATTAGGGCATTCTGAGATTATCTCAAAGGGCATTTTAATAGAATTTATGGAGAAATTTAAGGACAATTCCTAGTGAATTCATGAGAATTTAGAGGAAAACTCCATGACAATTCTGACCAAAATTTTAAGACAATTGCGAATTACATGGAAATTCTAAGGAAAATTAAAGGGAATTTTAAATAGAACTAGAACAATTTTGAAATGAATTTCACAGGGTAACGAGTGAACCCAGAAATCGGGTAAACCGAAAAAAAAATATCCGGGAAAAACCCGTGTATTGAAATAAACTCTTTGAAAGGAAATGATTCCAAAGGAAATGCTTGAGAATATTATAGTAAAATTCTGTAAAGGATTTTGAGTAAGGTCATAGACATTATGTTGAAGAATTGAACGCAGAATTAAATTTGACCCCACATACGGCTTTCGGTTTTACGCTTAATTTTAATGTATATCGCTCAACCAGGAAAATTTCCAAACCTCCGGGAAAAAATCGGGAAATTACTAATCGTAATTCACTGTTCACCAAGTAAAAAATAAAAAAAACGGGCAATGTGATTTAAAAATAAATTATTGTAAACCTAGTGTTCAGCGCAGCACGCTTTTGAGTTCTTGAGTCTTATCTGTTTTCATTCTTCCAGACAATCCCCGGAGGTGACGTCAAAGTCATCGAACGGTTCGATTGCTCCGGGTGCGGTGATGTGGACGTGAATAAATCCGTTACCGCGAACGGAACGGATGGAACCATTATCGGGCTGTCCGGAAGGGTACTGCGTCTGTCGAGCGCCATGAAGACGAAATGCCTTTCGGGTGAGTATCGAGTTGGACTGAAGAGCATGCACGATCTGTATCCGTCGCGCATACGGGAAAAAATTGTTGCCGATGCTAAACTGAAAACCTGGGACGAACCGCACAAGAAAGCCATAGCCGAAACCAGCCGGGACGTTGCGGAGTTCGATGCGAAAAATCCCAACGCACAGAATCTGCCACTGAAGGAAAAATTAACCAAGGAAAACCTGGACAGTACGGTGGAGTTTTTGAGTTCGTGTGAGAAGAAGTTCACCGATCTGAAGACAACGTATGATTGTGTGCTATTTCTGAGTGTGGATGGATGGGTGGCCGTTATCGATACTACCGGAAACGGTGACTTAGAGAATGCAGTTCACGTTGGAGAGTACAGCAGAACGCATGAGATGGTCAACTTGGATGACTTTCTTTCCATATCGGTTAATGTTCATGACGGAGGGGATGTGTTGGAGATTGTAGGAATGTGCTGTGAGTATACAAGATAGTTTTCTTGAGATGCTAATTTTAAAAATTTGTTCCCAAAAACCAGCAAGTCACGGTACCCACGTTGCATCGATTGCTTGTGGTTACCATCCGGATAATTCTGAATTGGATGGTGTTGCTCCGGCGGCCAAGGTGGTGTCACTGACGATTGGTGATGGCCGATTAGGATCTATGGAGACGGGGACTGCCCTAGTTAGAGCAATCATTAAGGTTATGGAACTATGTGAGGCGGGTTGTAAGATTGATGTGATCAACATGAGCTATGGAGAGCATGGTCATTGGTCTAACTCCGGTCGGGTGGGTGAGCTCATGAGTGAGCTAGTTAACAAATATGGCGTCGTGTGGGTTGCTTCAGCCGGTAATCATGGACCAGCCCTGTGCACTATCGGCACTCCACCTGATATCAGTCAGCCAAGCTGCGTAGGTGTCGGTGCATACGTATCTCCCGAAATGATGGAAGCTGAATATGCACTGAGACAAAAGCTACCCGGCAATGTTTACACTTGGACGTCCCGAGATCCATGCATCGATGGTGGATTTGGAGTGACGGTGTGCGCTCCGGGAGCTGCAATAGCTTCTGTTCCTCAGTTCACGATGTCCAAGGCCCAACTGATGAATGGGACCAGTATGGCTGCACCTCACGTTGCTGGTTCGGTTGCCCTGTTGGTTTCCGGCTTGAAGCAGAAAAATGTAAACTTTACTGCATTTAGTATTAAACGGGCTCTTTGGAACACTGCCACCAAAATTGACTACATCGATAAGTTTGCTCAAGGAAACGGACTTTTGAATGTGGAAAAAGCATTTGAGAATTTGACGACCTACAAGGATTGCTTGGAGAACAATCTACGGTTTTCCGTCAGTGTAGGAAGTAATGGAGCCAAGGGTATCCATATCCGACAGGGACTACTGATGAAGCCGGAAGAGTTTAACGTCAGTATTGAACCTGTATTTTTCAATGATAAATATGCTTGTAAGTTGAGTGTGTGCAGTGAGAGGAATATGAAAATGTACTGACTTATTACCGATAATATTTCCAGCCGCTGCTGATAAAATTAGTTTTAACGTAAGACTGACATTGATTCCATCGGAATCGTGGATTCAATGTGGATCCTTCCTAGATCTTTGCTATTCGCAACGTACGATTTGTGTGAAGGTTGATCCTACTGGATTGGCTCCTGGAGTTCATAAAGCAAGGTAAATCTGTTTGCAGTAGTTTCGAGAGTCCATAATGATCTCTATTTGACATTTCAGTATAAAGGCGTATGATTCTTCATGCGTTGAGAAGGGTGTTATGTTTGAGATTCCCGTCACTGTGGTTCAACCGATTGTAATTGATCCTAAAACGTTGGAGTACACCCAAACCGAAGCGGTAACATGCAAACCTAACACGATTCTGCGGAATTTCTTCCTGGTACCGAAATATGCCACTTGGGCTGTGCTGGAGATGATATCCACTGATACGAACGACACCATGGGAGGAAAGTTTTTGATCCACACGATGCAGATTCTACCGATGAAGTATTGCAAATCGCAGGAAACACAAAAGATTCTGCCTGTAAACAGTGTATCCACGACGGTGCATCCATTCAAGTGTGTGGTGAGTAGGAAAAGTGTGGAATAACAACTGATTGGTTGATCAATGCTTGACTAAATATCTTTCTAGGGTGATAACATTCTGGAAGTTTGCATTGCTAAGTATTGGTCCAACTTTGGTACGGTTCCACTCAAGTATTCCATCAAATTCCATGGAATCTCTCCGTTGAGTGGAAGTAAGTGAATGCATATTCCTTTTTTCTAAATTGAATAGAATTAACGTTTTTTTTTCCTTACAGATGTGATGCACAGCGCTAACGGTATTCATCGGATTGACCTCACCACGCTTTCAGCCGAAGAGGTACTACCATCAGTTTCACTCAAATCAGCCGTCATGGTTCTAAAACCATCAGAAACGAAAATTACTCCTCTCAGCACTAGGGACATTATTCATCCTGGACGCCAAATCTACCAGAACGTATTAAACTACAGTTTGCATTTAAACAAAAGCCAGGAAATTGCATTCTACGCACCACTCTTTAGTACCGTTTTGTACGAAAGCGAATTTGAGTCTCAATTTTGGATGGTCTTCGATTCGAACAAAATGATGATTGGATGTGGCGATGCTTACTCTAACGATGCCTATTTAAAGCTGGAAAAGGGTGACTATACCGTCCGCTTGCAAGTTCGTCATGAGAAGAAGGAGTTGTTGGAAAAGATTTCAGAAACGAATATGTTGGCTAACATCAAGCTGGCAAATACCCTGTCTGTAGATATTTACAAATCATACAATCAAGCTATCGTCAATGGAAAAAAGATAACGACGTTCGCCTTCCCGGCGGGAGTCAATCGTCCAATCTATCTGGCCCCAATTTCAAACGAAAAGCTTCAGAAAGCTTCATTCCCGAATCAGTGTTCCTGGTTGGAAGGAACGATTGTTTATGCTAAGGATGAGTTGGGCAAAAAATGCGACACCCACTGCTTCCAGTACATTCTGACCGAGGGTCCAGCGGTTAAGAAAAATGGTACCGGAAGTCCAAAGGAAACCAAGAGTAAACTTGAAGAATACAGTGAAGGACTTCGTGACTATCAAGTTTCACAGATTTCAAAACTTGACCCCGAAAATGCCGAACTGATCTACAAAGTCGTTCTGAAAGACAATCCCAGTTTTGTGGGAGCTCATCTGGCATTGATCGAAAATTTAGATAGTAACGATCTGAAGTTAAATCTTCCACTCACATTTGCCGCCAATTTGGATAAGAACGATACAAATGCTGCTGCGTTGCTGAAGTTAAAACTGCTCAAAATTATCGAGCTGGCAGACTTGGTAATTAAAGAAATTGACCAAAATGCACTATTGGCATACTATGGACTGAAAACGGACAACAGGCTAAATGCGACAAAAATTAAAACGTGAGTGTAGTACCAATCGAATGGAATTATAACTTTTGCTTCATGTATAAACTTTTATTGCATTGCAGTCAAATGGACAAACAAAAACAACAACTGCTGGACGCTGCTCAAAAGAAGCTAATAGCTTTGTCCAAATTGCGCGTCATTAAAGCGGTTGTAGACAGCAACGAGGTCGGAGACGACGGGGTCGATCAGCTTGATAATATCGAACAATTGTTCAGTGACATTGGAAAGTTTATCGAATACACCGACACGAAGGTAAGTTACTATCTACATATAATAATACACATCAGTCAAAGCCTTTTCAGACTAATCTATGCAATATTAACACTCATATTCCATCGCCAGGTTCTGCTATCATCGATTTGGCATGCGTACGCTCTGAAACAGTACGGTCGTATGCTCAAGTATCTAGGTAAACTCTACGAAGAGAAACTATCGCGGGAGATTGTTGAAGAACAGACCCGTATCGTTTCCGAGCGGAAATGGCCTCATATCGAACAACTGCTGAGTAAGGTGATCGTTACCTCCAATCCGCAAGGATATAGACTGTTTTAAAATGAATTCGGTAGGGAATGTATGAATCAGGGTTAACACTAATTAAAAAAAATCAAATTATTCTAGTTTTATAGCGTTCAAAACACGCCCTTTAGAAAGCCCTATATTGTCACGCTACGTTATCTTTGCATACGTAAGCTTTGCGTAGGCAGATATAACAAGGAGATCGACTAACGTGTTGCAGGTTTCGGTTTGCAAACGGTGCATCGATTCACAGCTGTTGACTTTGTGAACGTAGATGTATAAAAAAAAAACATTGTGTGGTATTTCAGATCTACAGATAATCGTGATCAATCGGAATAATCAAGATTCTAGTTTTAATAAATCAATAAATATAGTTGCATAGCCCATCTCTTCGTTAAAAAAAAACAAACACGCGGCAGTTTAGACTAGTATTTACAATTTCAAATTAAGATGATTGTATATTGACAATTTTGCACGAAATATTCAGATTCACCTTTACCTGTTTTTCATAAGATTGTTTTCAAACAACTAAAAACCGAAGCAACTCATCCAGCCAACATAGGAGGGTTCATCTAGCTATACAGGGCAAATTAATCTGACTGATAATTGAATACCGTTCACTCAAGTTCGCAGGTTACTCATAGAATGAGTAATACTTTTTACTAAAGTATGAGTAAATGTCACTCAGATATGTATAAATGTCACTTAAACATTTTCACTCATTCTATGAGTGACCTACGCTTTTGTGAATTTGAGTGAACGGTATTCAACTATCAATCAGATTGATTTACCGTGTAGTGAGACGATTGATCTTGCATTTATGAACCGATTAAAATGAACCCTTGAAAATAGAAACAATTTTTGCTTGTTCGATACTGACAAAGAAACAAGAGAGAATGGTACTTGTAATTAACTTCTTATACACAGCAAAAAAAGTTTGCTCTGGTCAGACGTAATTCATGCCGGTGTATCAAATATTTATGTAATTGTAAAAACTGATGCAATATTATTTCCGTGGATGTAAATTTGTTCGCAAAAACTGTGTACATGAAATGATCTGGGTGCAGCAGTTTCGATGTAATATTTAAGAACTTTTTTGGCTGTGTAGATCGATTTAATAACAGATCCTATGCATTAATCGAGATTTTCAACAGTTATATTCACGTTTAGTTATAAATATCACATCCCTAATATAGATTCATAGTCTGGCAGATACAAAATCACGCAAATTTGAAATAGCATTTTAGCCTGTTTCCAGCGGTTCTCAAACTTTCGATGATTGCGACCCACTTTTACAAATTTTATAAACTCGCGATCCACCATTATCGGCAGTCTAAATACAAGCCAAGATTTCCCTTGAAGCATCAATAACACCTTCGAAACACTTTCTTTTTGCTGGGAATTTTTCTCGGATGACACGCTTCACTTTACCGTATTTCCATAGCACCAACGCTAGATCGCAGTCGGGAACTTCTGGTGGAAAACCAAAAACTCGCAGATATTGAACATAATCCTCCGCATGCGATAGGCGTTCATCCTGCCTTTCCATTGCACTGGGAGCACTCGGAACATGTCCGGTGCAAATGATCAGGTATTTGAATTTTGATGTGATTTGATATGATTTTGTTTGCTTCCGATTCTGGCCACTTTCCCGGCGGTACCCGGAGCTTGTGTGGCCAATGTATTCTTGTTAAATGAAACATTCAGTCGATATAAAACGTTGCAAGATAAGTTTTGGCTCATTTAAAATTCTGGTAACTTCTCCCTGCGCTTTGATCAGAGAGCGTATCGTTGTGCCAGGTTGGTCGAGGCAAATTTCGAGTATGAGAAAGTGATTGCAGTTTGCTTAAAAGTGCCTTAGTAAAATGCAAGTACTTTCGATGATTACCCGTAGTTGCGATAATAAAGATGTATACCCATATTCTGGTTTATGTCCGCCATATAGAAACATGTTTATTTGATTTTGTGTGGGGGATGGGTTTCGGGCGTGGACGGGCATATCGGTGATAATATTAAGTTTATGTTAGCTTAAAGTTAAAACATTGAGAAATGTATCTCTTCAGTTTGAGAAGTACTTCACTTCGTAACCGATTAACCATTCTGATGGCCCCAATATGGGACAGCTTGATGTTTATAAAGTACTATCAGTTAAAACTGTATTTTTAGGCTTTATCTGCATTTCGTACGTTAAAACTGTGTTTTGAACGGTTATCCACTGATTTTTTTTTATGAATTGACAAATTATGTATCTTGACGAAGTTATTGTTAACGGATTATTTTATATGGATAACTGTCATAACGACTTTTTAATAATTATTGTAGCACTGCAAAAACTATTTCTGTTCGCCACGATGGTGATGATGGATTTTTAATATTTGATTTAATAGTAGTAGATTAAAAAAAATAGTCTACAAAGGTTTGAGCCTCGCGCGTATTACGGATATAGAGGACTGAATTTAACGATAAAAAAAAATGCAATTTTGAAGCTTATTTGGAAGATACCTTGAGTTAGTAGTAAGTTTTCTGGCAAATGTTAGGGGTTCGTGAGCATTCCTGACATTACTGAAAATTATGATAGCATCAGATTGCGGGGTTGCTAGTGTTATAGGATGTTTTGTTGATTGTTCATTAACTCTTGATTGCTTGTAATACTTATGAATATTTTAGATGGACAAAAAGGCGAACTAAGAGGTGGCCTGAGCTTTTCCACATTTATATCGCTGTGAAGCAACTGTAAACTTTAGAGGGAATTTATATCTGTAACTGAAACCAGTTCGATTTTGTTTGCAAACCTGGTTAAATTTCCATATTTAATTATCTTAAAGATAAATCGTCCAGCTTAAACCTTTGTAGGGGTAAGAGGTGGGACCATCATCATCATCATCATCATATATTATTTGGTGTTTCTGTTGGGAACATGGACATCCCTAACGATCGCTACCAACATCAACACTGCTGAGCTCACTGGTAGCAGCTAAGCTGTCACCCGTAGATGCGCGAACCAGCATAAGAAAGAGGAACAACACATCAGATATGTTCGAGTCCGTCATCTTGTATCGTGTGCGCTTCCCGCAAGTCAATGTATACTTTTAGTTCGTCATTATAATAAATTTTTATTTGCTAGTTTACGTTCGCGTTCATTTTATTGTACATGATGTACGCGTTCGTAACAGTGGCGACGTCGGAAAAACGAAATTGTTTGAGAACATTTCACGCGAGTGAGCGAAAGTGTTTCGTTCACGGAAGAGGAGAAGAATTGCGGACGACAGTATGTTTTCACCTGGGAGTGAACCCCAGCAACAATCAGTGCCGGGAAATGGACTGCAGCATTATCCAGCAGTACAAAACCAGCAACCGGGAGTGAACACCCAGCCGCAATTAAACCCAATCATCCGTCCGCCGATGCTCCAGCAAACACAACCTCACCTCCACCAGCAGCAGCAACAACAACAAAACATTCCATCGATAGATCCAGCGATGTTGCATTTTTTTGACGTAGGACTACGTCTTTGATTTCTATATGGGGGTACACTTTGTGAAAACCGAAAATGGAACATGTAACAAATTAAGAAATATTTTGAACGTTAATAACTCAGCTACCCCTTGTCCAATTTCAATAATTTTATCACCAATCGATCAGAAATATGGCTACGCATTGATAACAATGCTTCCGAATGTTGATTTTCAACAAGAAACTATTGACAAACTGGTAAATGTTCAGTTGTCCAAAAGCGTCGAATTAACTAACAAATCCACCAATTACCTACATGCATATGCTGCTTCCCCAGCACAGTCGTCAGAGAGTAGTAAGTAGACGAAACAAGTCGAAGTGGCATTCGCCTCCGATCCTCGGGCGCGTGCGAATAGGGAGGATGGAATTGCGTAATATTTTACACACTCATCGCCATGTTCAGAACCAAACGCAAATTCTTCGAGATAACCGCCATCGGTCGTCTGGCTCGCCGTGGCGGTGTCTGACGTATCTCCGGTTTGATTTACGAGGTGTGCTGAAGGTGTTCCTGAAAAATGAGATCTGTGATGCTGTCACCTACACTAAACACGCCAAGCGTAAGCGGCCATGGATGTCATCTACGTTTTTGAAGTGACAGAGACGCACTCTGTTTGGTTTCAGAGGTTAAATCATCACCAACATTGGAAACAAAACGGCTCTTTTCAGGGCCACCAAGCTTATTACAGTAAAGAGTAGGAATAGAATTCATCTGCCTGGTTGTCCATATTCAGAACCACCGACCACACAAAATGCTCATGTGATCAAACTGGAAGCAGGGATACAAATTGTTTTGATCAACCTTGATCAACTTTGAATCGCCACGGCCGGATATTTTCGATGGAAGAAGCAACAATCTAGCCTCTAATTCGACGAAGACGGCAGGAAACATTTCTGGATCAACAATAGAATAGGGCCCATCAGCATTTGTAAACAAACCGTTCCAAAGCCTCACAAATCGAAGGCCGCTCACACAAACCAACACCAACATCTTGTAGGTAGAAGTTTCCCCTATCCGATGATGGTGTTGGTTTGTGTGAGTGGCCTTCGCTTTGTGAGTAAAGGGCTTTGGAACGGTTTGTTTACAAATGCTGATGGGCTCTTTTCTATTGTTGATCCAGATTTGTGAAACCGAGTTATTTACGAAAGAGAGTGTCGATGAAGAGAATCGATCAATGTAGATAGGACCTATTGAAAAGTGACGCGAGATTTGTTTTCCGTACTGAGCTCCAATGCTACCGATGCCAGGGAGGCAGCTCCCAGAGATGTTATGCCTTAGAACATGCCGATGGCGCCGACTGAGATTGGACCCAGGCCTGCTGGGGTGAGAGGTAATCAAATCATGCTAACCACCTGCGCCGATATCTATCACGGCGAATGAGAACGACCCAAATTTGAGTTTAGTTATCTCAGAAATAAGTGCAGGAATTCAGCGATGAGTAAATATTCCTCATGTTTTCCCAGGTTTTTCCAGGATTTTCCAGGGAAAAATTCCCGAATTTGAGAAAAGTAAAGATTGGATTCACTCATTTTCTGGCAGATTTTTTAGGTTTTCCACAGGAAATCATGAGACAAATTTACTCATCGCTGAGTTCCTACACTTTTGGCGATTATGAGTGAACTAAACTCAAATTTGGTGCGTTCTCATTCGCCGTGTACGCAAAAAGAAAATAGCCAGTGTCGCTACTTGATAGCAAACTACTCATAATGGGAGGAGTCTTTGTAGCTTTTATACCACTTGGTTGCACATCATTCTGCTTTAACCTAAAAAGATATGAAGCAGCGCTGTTTTCTGGTATCAGCTCATTTTCGCTTCGGACGGCGTGGTGAGCAATAGTAGCAGTAGGTCGTGGCAAAGGAGGTGCCAATCGTCATCGCAAATTCTTCGAGATAACAACCATCCGTCGTCTGGCTCGCCGTCGCAGTGTCTGACGTATCTCCGGTCTGATCTACGAGGTGTGCTGAAGGTGTTCGTGGAAAATGAGGTCCGTGATGCTGTCACCTACAGAAACACGCCAAGCGTAAGTGGACATGGATGTCCTCTTCAATAAAACGGCCCTTTTCAGGGTCATCAAGCTTACATCAGTAAAGAGTTGGAATAGAATTTATCGGTGCTTGTTTGTCCATATTCAGAACCACAAGCCCCCAACGACCACACAAACTTGAAAGCAGGGGTGCAAGTGATTTTGATTGATTCAGGGTGGCCGGCAAACCGGGAAATCCGGGAATACCGGGAAATATCCGGGAATTTGGAAAGTAACCGGGAAAACCGGGAAAAACCCGTGAATTCTGCAAGAGAACCGGGAAAATAAATTAACCATATCATAGGAACAATTTTTTACATCAGAATTTCAGAATAAACCATTAAAACAGAGTGATCCTTTAGCAAATGAATGTCTTGCTCTATTTGTTGCATAATTTTGTTCAGTATACCGTCTTATTGTTCTTAGAATTTAATCACTCAGCAATATTGCAAATTGATTTTTGTCGTTTCAATTTCAGATGTAAAGTGCATGGTCCTCTAAAGAAAATATTGAAGATGCTGGAGTTTGGAAATAAATATTTGTAAAAACCGAAACTGAATTATTCTTTCCGGGGTTTTAATTTTTCGTTGTTCAAAATTCTCATGATGAATTCCAGAATTAACTTGGAATTCTGCTCCGAATTATCTTGAAATTGTTCTGAAATAAACCAGAAAACACTCCGCGTAATAATTACCGTTGAATTCTTTTAGGAATTTTCTTCCAACCCCTTCTAAGAATTTATTGGAATCCTTCATATAATTCCCGTTCCCGCCTATCCGGAGACTTTGGTTCCTTTAAAAATCTTTTCAAACATTTCTTTTAACTCTTTTCAAAACAAAAGAAATCTTTCGAAAATTAATTTATAAACCCCTTGGAGTATTTTAAAGAATTTCTTTCTAATTATCAGCAAATTTTTTGGAATCAATTTTGTTTGGGTTATGTGATGAATCATTCTAGGGTTGAAATTATTGCCAGAACATTTTATGAACTCTGTTTTTTGTTGAATTCCGATCATAATTCTCTTGGAATTCTTCTTAAAATTCAACTGTCATGTTCTTCACGATGCCCATACAAATCTCATCAGAACCACGTAGGAATTTTCTGCAATGTTTTATTTTTATTTTCACAATTATTTTTTAATCTACTAAAATTACCTAACAGTTTAATTTAGAACTTGCATTCTTCTCCAAAGAAATCCTTCCAAATTCATCTAACAATTTCTATGGATTTCATGTAAGAATAATTCTGGATATCTGCTCTTCTCCTTCGAAAACTGTGTGGGAATCCTTCTCAATATTTGTTTTTAATCAACACTTTGAATTCTTTTAAATTTTACTAAAAATTCCAGGTTTTGTCCGCCAGATTCTACAGATTGCTATGTAATTTGTTATTACCCTTAAAATGCTTCCAAGTCTCAGAGCGTGTCAATTATGACTCCACGACTCATAAATATGATGTTTTTTTTTTTTTATAAATCTGTGATCTTGAAAAAAATTCAAAATTTCACATTTTAATTATTGTTTCTCCAAATCTTGCATCACGAAGCATGTTATTAATCACAAATTTTGAAGAAAAGTTCTAGTTTCAGACTCTACACAAATTTCAAAGCTCCAGAATCTTCGGAATCTTCTTAAATCACATTCTTTTTATCCTATCAGTAAATTTTGTTTTTTTTTTTGTTGCATATTAACAACCGGGAATTTTTAAGATTTGAACCGGGAAAAAACCGGGATTTTCAAAATGAAAATTCACTGGCCACCCTGATTGATTCTCGTAATCAACTTTCTTTTTGAAAAAGATTACTACAAATTTGGATCGCCTACAATTCAAAACCGGAAAGAGTTGAGATAATAGATATTTCAGGCATAACATTTGATAACGGCACAAAGGCATTTGTAAACAAACCTTCTTATGCCCTTTACACGCGAACCAAAGTACGCCCACGCAAACCAACAACATCATCGCATAGGGGCAACTATCACCTTTCCGTAAGTGGTATTGGTTTGCGTGGGCGTACTTTGGTTCGCGTGTAAAGGGCCTTAGAATGTTTGTTTACAAATGTTTTTGTGCCGTTATCAAATGTTATGCCTGATTTGATCAATTAAAAGAACTTAATGCTCTTCACATTTATTCCGTCCACTAGCGGTCCTACGTCAAGCTTCCGTTTGTGCCCCTAGGCACAGACCCTTCTACTTTTTTCAGCAAATACAGCAGCAGGTGCAACAGCAAATGCAACAACAAATGCAACAGCAGATGTAGCAACAGATGCAAATGCAGATGCAGCAGCAACAGACGTTTTTGAAACAGCAGGAGCAGATGTTTCGGGCGGCGATGTCGGCTATCAACATTCAAGTGCCGACGAACCCTGAGCAAATTCTCGATTCGCTGGCGAGTAAAATCCGCGAATTTCGGGACGAGCCGGATCAAAACGTCACGTTTGTTGCATGGTACGTGCGTTATCAGGATTTATTCGCCAAAGACGCCGTTCGCCTCGACGATCAAGCCAAGGTGAGATTGCTGCTACGGAAGTTGGGTCCTTCAGAGCACGAGAGGTACACCAGTTACATCCTACCGAAAAGCCCCAACGAGGTGAAGTTCGACGACACGGTGAGTAAACTGAAAAGTTTGTTTGGTATGCCAGAGTCTGTGATTAGCAGACGGTACCGGTGCTTGCAAGTCACAAAGCAAGTCACTGAGGACTACAAAACGTTCGCCTGCCGGGTGAACAAACTGTGTGTCGAATTCGTACTTGGGAAGCTTTCGGAGGACCAGTTCAAATGTCTCGTGTTCGTCTGCGGGCTGAAAGCGGAAAGCGATGCGGAGGTCAGAACCAGGTTGCTGAGCAGAATCGAGGAGCGGAATGACATCACGCTGGAGCAGATTTCGGACGGCTTCTGAACCTCAGGCATGACACGGCGATGATAGAGGCAGCGTCTTCGTCGACAGCAGTGCAAGCATTGAAGCGGAGGCAGTTCGGTGGGAAGCATTCCCGCTCAGGACGAGGTCACCAGGTTCAAGATCCCCGAATCAGCGAGGTGCCGTTCCAGCAACGCCTTGTTGGAACTGTGGCGCCATGCACTATTCCAAGGACTGCCCTTCCTCAAAAATCGGTGTAAGGAATACGGTCAGCCGGGCCACAAAGACGGGTATTGCTCAAGCGCCAAAAAGGTGAAATCTCCAGGCAAGCGGTACTCGTCCAAGCCGATGGTAACCAGAAGCGTGCCGGTGAAGAACGTCCGGAAGCGTAGGAGATTTGTGAAAGCAGAAGTCAACGGCAGGCAGATCAGTCTCCAACTCGACACTGCGTCGGATATCAGCGTCATTTCCGAGCAATCATGGCGGCATATCGGAATACCCACAGCAAGTCCTGCAACAATTCAAGCCGCTACTGCATCGGGCAAACCCTTGAAGCTGGAGTTTCAGTGTTCCTGTGAAGTTGTAAACAAAGGGGAGAAGCATCAAGGTCGATTTTTCGTGGTCAAGCAGCAGCTCAATCTGCTTGGACTGGACCTAATCGATACGTTTAACCTCGGGTCTGTGCCTATGGATCAGTTCTGCAATCAAATCAGCAGCTATCCAACATCGATCAGCTCCCTCCAAGCAGCTTTTCCAGCGGTGTTCAATGATGAACCAGGGTTGTGCTCGAAGGCCAAGGTGAAGTTCACGTTGAGGGAATGTAAATCCCCAGTGTTCCGACCGAAGAGACCAGTGGCTTACGCCATGTGCAGTACCGTCGATGCGGAGTTGGATCGGCTGGAACGTGCCAACATCATCACACTGGTCGATTTCTCGGAGTGGGCAGCTCCAATCGTCGTTGTTCGTAAGGCAAGTGGTGCAATCCGTATCTGCGGTGCCTACTCCACGGGCCTCAACGATGCTCTGCAGCCGCATCAGTACCCACTTCCTCTACCGCAGGACATCTTCGCTAGGCTGGCGAACTGCAAGGTCTTCAATCAAATCGACCTTTCAGATGCGTTCTTGAAGGTGGAGGTGGATGAAAGCTGTCGAGAGTTGCTCACCATCAACACACATCGAGGTCTCTATCGGTACAATCGGCTTCCACCGGGAGTTAAGGCAGCACCCGGAGCGTTTCAGCAGCTTGTGGACACAATGCTCGCTGGACTCAACTGCACTTCGGGGTATCTCGATGATGTTCTAGTCGGCGGAGTCGACGAAGCAGACCATTGGCGCAACCTTCAAGCCGTCCTTCGTCGAATTCAGGAGTTCGGATTCACCATCAAAGCGGAAAAGTGCTCGTTTGGCCAGCGTCAAATCAAGTATCTGGGACACCTCATCGACGGGCAAGGTCTGCGTCCGGATCCAGCGAAAGTTGAATCTATCTGCAACATGCCAGCGCCGACAGACGTTTCTGGAGTTCGATCGTTTCTGGGAGCAATCAATTACTACGGGAAATTCGTCCCGAGTATGCGTACGTTGCTATATCCGCTGGATGAGCTTCTCAAAGCCAACAAGAAGTTCGTTTGGTCAGTGGAATGCGACAAGGCCTTCTCCACCTTCAAGCAGATTCTCACTTCAGATTTGCTTCTGACGCACTACAACCCGCAACGCGAGATAGTGGTAGCAGCGGATGCGTCATCGGTTGGAGTTGGTGCGACTATTAGCCACAAGTTTCCAGACGGGTCGATTACGGTCGTGCAGCACGCTTCTAGAGCACTGACAGCCGCCGAGCAAGCCTACAGTCAGCCAGACCGTGAGGGGCTCGCGATTATCTTCGCTGTGACCAAGTTCCACAAGATGCTGTTTGGTCGGAGCTTCACACTACAAACTGATCATGCTCCACTTCTTCGGATCTTCGGGTCGAAAAATGGCATCCCAGTCTATACGGTCAACCGGCTACAACGTTGGGCTTTACAGTTGCTGCTCTACGACTTCAACATTGTTTACGTAAACACAACAAAATTCGGAAACGCCGATATCCTGTCCCGGTTGATCGATCAAGACGTCAAACCAAAGGAAGACTTCGTCGTTTGCAACATAATCACGGAGAACGATGTAAGATCCATTGCATTAGATGCAGTTAACGCACTTCCTATCAGTTTCAGGGCAATGCAGCACGCCACCCTGTTCGACCCTGTACTTAGCAAGGTCTACCGCTTCGTCCAGCAAGGTTGGCCACAGTTAAAAACGGCAATTTCGGACCGTGAGATCCAGTAATTCTTCAACCGAAGTGATTCGCTATCTACGGTTCAAGGGTGCGTGATGTTTGCCGAACGTTTAGTGATTCCGACCGATTTCCGGATGCGTTGCCTACACCATCTCCATCCTGGTCATCCGGGTATCCAGCGCATGAAAGCGATTGCGCGCAGCTTCGTTTACTGGCCGTCTATCGACTCGGTTATCGCTGCGCATGTCAAAGCGTGCCGTCACTGCGCAGTTGCAGCCAAGAGTCCGCCCAAAGCACCGTCGCTGGCGTGGCCCAAGTCAACGTATCCATGGCAGCGCGTCCACATCGACTACGCTGGGCCTATCGAAGGAGAGTACTTCCTGCTTAGCGTCGATTCGTACTCGAAATGGGTGGAAATCGTCAGAACCAAGTCGATAACAGCCACTGCAACCATCGAAATCCTACGAAGTCTCCTCGTTCGCCTTGGTATGCCAGAAACGTTAGTCAGCGACAACGGTACGCAGTTCACCAGTGCCGAGTTCGCACAATTCTGCCTCGAGAACGGTATCGATCACGTGACAACTGCGCCGTTTCATCCGCAGTCCAACGGCCAAGTTGAGCGTTTCGTGGACACCTTCAAGCGAGCGGACAAAAAGATTCAAGAGGGGAGAAGAACAATTCAGGAAGCACTGGACACTTTTCTGTTGACCTACCGAACCACACCAAACCCGTCAGCACCACAAAGCAGATCTTCGTCCGAAGTAATGTTTGGGCGTAGAATTAGGACCAGTCTGGACTTACTCCGACCACCAGCCGTTCGGGAAACGACTTCTCAACTAGATTCAAGGTTGTTCAGTAAAGGTGATCTAGTATACGCCAAGGTGCACTCTACCAATTCTTGGAGAAGGGCATCAGGAGTGATTCTGGAGCGAGTGGGACAGGTGATGTTCAACGTGTGGGTTGAAGACAGGCGCATGATTCGGTCGCACATCAACCAGCTGCGAAGCCGAACGAACGCCGACAGTAAGTCAACGTTTGGCTCGATTCCGTCCAAGACAGACAAGCAACAGTTGCCTCTGGACATCTTACTACGAGCCTGGAACCTGCACAAGCCAACCCAGCCACAACTACCAGGTCCATCCACATCACCGAGACCATCACCGTCACCGGTTGCACAAACGCCATCAACACTCGAAACGCCGGCTGAGCATTCGACGCTACAGCAAGTCTTGTCATCCACGCCAGCTTCTCCGAGCCTAGTTTGGGTTACTCCGGAATCGACAACAGACCTTGGTCAGCCGTCGTCTACGTCCGTAGTCCCATCGTCCTCTACAACAAGCCCTGTGCCACTTACATCAGCAGAAACCGAAACAGCTGTCAGGTACCTCGCCGCTCTTCACGTCTACGAAGACCGCCGATTAGGTTCGACCCGTACCAGCTGTATTAAGAGGGGAGATGTTGGGAACATGGACATCCTCAACGATCGCTACCAACACCAACACTGCTGAGCTCACTGGTAGCAGCTAAGCTGTCACCCGTAGATGCGCGAACCAGCATAAGAAAGAGGAACAACACATCAGATATGTTCGAGTCCGTCATCTTGTATCGTGTGCGCTTCCCGCAAGTCAATGTATACTTTTAGTTCGTCATTTTAATAAAGTTTTATTTGCTAGTTTACGTTCGCGTTCATTTTATTGTACATGATGTACACGGCCACACCGTTAGCGCGTTCGTAACAGTTTCCTAGCAGATAATCATGTTGGTGTTCGCTGATTCAAAGCATAAATGGGATAAACATTGAGCTGTCCATACTTGGGCGTTGTTGAACTTGATGTACTTGCACAACATTTTATGTGAGTATCCAGGTAACCATATACTAATAAAATAACTTTAAATGTTGGTTCAGAGTGAGACGACGATATAGTTAGTTGGCTATTCAGATGAAACTATTACTTTAAAAAACTAATTCTGGTTGTATCTCTTTTTCGATTGCATGTAATAGGGTAGAGCACTACTTCGTCGTAATCGCCCATTTCCGTTCTATCGATCAGAAAAGATCAATAGTATCAATGATTTCACCATGCACAACTCAATAATAGGTTTGTGCTGATGCGTAAGTTCATTAGCTACAACATAAATCCAGTTAGAGCGCATTATATGAATATTTACGAAGAAAATCTAATGGCGTTTCAATGCGTTAGGACGGAATTGAAACTCGTAGAACGAATTCAGAATCAATAAGCAGTGTTAGATTTTAAACAATATCTCAACAATTTGTTAATTTTTAATTAAATCCAACGGTACGTATGGAAAGGTGAATGAATTTTGAAGTCATCTTTCACATTTTTTGTTTAAACTCGTTCAGAAAAGAGAGGTAAAGCGCGGGTTGTCCTTAGTGGAACGAAAATTAGATCAAAAACCCTACTATTTGATATTACTAACCATATCAAATCTATGATGCACCGAGCGTTCATTCCGGGAGCTGAGCAAATCTGAAGAAGAAGATGATGACTATATAGAGCGTTTTGTCAATGGGCCTGGTCTACGCTTCAAAGTTTTTTTTATTTATTAATTTATTTGATAAGGCTCAATCGAATTAACTTTACAGAGCCGAGGGTTCTTATATTATACAATACATCTGAAAACTATAGTCAAAAGGTACAACACAATAAACATTTTATCTTCCACTATCCAATAAGCCTCCCCACCAAAACGGGAGCCGCTTCCAGTGGTTTCATTGTATGGCAGTATCGCCAACGGGGGGCACAACGCTTCCATAGAGATTGCTGCCGTTTATAATACGCACACTACGTCACGTATACGTATACGCAAAATGTTTTCATCGGAAAAAAAAACTTTTTAGCGAAAAATTTTCCCGATGAAAATAAATCACTGACACAATCATACTTTAGCAATCTCTATTGCAGCAGTGGACGCAAAACGTGGTCAGTACTTACACATTCATCACGAAACGGTTGCTTTCCAAAGTCGACAACGCATCGATTGAAAGAACTGCTGATGAAGAACAATGAGTTGCTGACGTTCGCGTGACACACATTGAGAGTAAAGCCCTACAGTAAAAGTATGGACGACTGTCACCACAAAACTGAAAAAAAGCTGTTCCAATTGAACAAAGCGGTGCCTTTTGACGGTTCGATTGGAACAACTTTTGACAGACGTCCATACTTTTACTGTAGGGCTTTAATTGAGAGTGATCTGCCTATGTCGACAGCCGAGTGAACACTCAACGCTTCAAAGTTGGCTTTTGTGATGTTTGGTATCACATAAAATGTAAAATAGGTAGCACCATCTTCATCCCAATGTAAGTATTATTGACAATAATCATAACTAGATGATATTCAAATTTATATGATAGGTAACTGGATTTACATGATTTACAGGTATTGCAAAACATTGTCCTCTGTACGTTCCTTTCCAACTTTTACTATTACTACTATTACTCCGACTATCCCCTACTTGAAATACTACCCATGGCTTTGGCGAAACCTTGAGGTAGTTTAATTAGGCTACCAGGTCCCAGGGCTGATCTGGATCTTTACCACATTGGAAAGATGCACACTAGTGTTGCCAGATCAGTGTTGATGCTTACCAAAAGTGCATTTGAACCCGCTTATAAAAGCATATTAACAGATTAATCATCACCGTACATTGTTTATTGCTCTGTACTAATAATAAATGATTGAGCGCAGCATTTGATATTTTAGTAAGAATGCTGGATTTAGTCGCAGTGGAAATCAATCCTTTATTGAATTGGATTTATTTCTATGGATTTGCACGTTTGGAAAGTATCATCACAAAGATTCTGCACTCGGTCTACAGCTTGTGGGCGGGAAGCGTTGTGTTTGTTTTAGTTTTTTTTAATCTATTTATAGAGTCAATTCTTAGAAATACAAAGCGAAAGACAAATCAAGCATTAAGCACAAGACCTTCAAGAAACACGAAGTCTGGAAATGGCAATGTTCAAAAAAAAAAAAACAAATTCTCTCCGTAGAATAATGGAAACCACCATGCTCGCAGCTCTAAAGGCTCTTAGTTTTGAAGCAAGACAGCGCCCTGAGGCATTCATCAATGAAAGCCCAGAACAACCGCCACAAACTGTTATCAATGACTCACAAAGCGCAAGAAGGCAGTCCCAACATATTGCAATCAGAGAACAGGGGAACCATACGATCAACAATAAAATTAGAGTGGCGCGGCTAAACTACTTTCGACATGTGGTAAGGGACACATCCCAAGGAATACTAGGGAAAGCTCTCAATTACCGCGTGCATGTAAAAAAGAAACTAGGACGACCCTGCTTCACGTGGAAAACGAGTCTCTAACAGGACTTCAAAAGAAGCAACACAACAGCGGCGCATTGGAGGGAATTGGCATACAACCGTGGCGAATACAAGACGGCCACAAAAAAAATAATGAATATGAAGTGTTTTTACATTGTTCCTGCCTTGGCAATTCAATATTTTAAACAGGTTTTTTAAACCTGCATGTCAGTATAACAATTGAAATCTTAAAACTTAAAACTAAAACTAAATCTTATCTAAGTATAAAGGGAATTAATCGTTGCAATTGAGGATTGCAACGATTTTTGCCTGAAATTATTAATTATTTGTTGGACATTTGTTCTAAAGTCTCAACATTCGAAATTCTATGTACCTCGGCAGTACTGTACCAAAGGCAACTTCGAAATCATCTTCAGAACTTTATTCTAAATCCTTTGAAGGGCTTTTTCCTGGTAGTGCAACAACAAGACCATATTGGCACAGCGTAAAGCATGACCGGTCTAAAAACTGGTTTAAATATTAGAAGTTTATTCGTCAGGCAAAGTTTGGATTTCCTGTTTATAAGAGGATACAAACATTTTATATATTTGCTACATTTGGCTTGAATGCCCTCAATGTCATCTTTAAAAGATATTTCACTTGGTTTGACCAGGAAATTGGAACTCCGTTCATAGTGACTATGTGACTACACACAAAATCACGGCCTCCCTGTTCGGTAATTTTTTACTGGGTTTTTGAACAGCTGAAAAAGTCAGTAAACTTAAAAAAATTGTAAATTTTTTTATAAAAGTGATTTTTTCTTGAAATTTATACAGACTGTGTTCTTATTACATTTATTTGATGATAAAAATAAAATATGTTAAAATTGTTCGTTGCATTACGTGTGACCGTTATTTTCAGTTTACTGACTTTTTCAGCTGTTTGAAAACCCAGTAAAAAATTACTGACCCCAGTAAAATAATCTCTGTGTGTACTACTAGGTTTCAAAAAGGAAGCTCTAGGCTTATGTGGAAATATTATAAGTTGAGTTTTGGAAGCGTTGGGAGAAATCTTCCATTTTTGTAAATAAGAAGAGAAAATATCTAAACTTTTCTGCAGTCTGCTGCAAATAACACGAAGACTTCTTCTTTTAGCGGAAATGCCTGTGTCATCAGCGAACAAAGATTTGTGGCAACCCTGAGGCAAATCAGGGAGGTCCGAAGTGAAAATGTTATACACGCAGAAAAAACTATCGTCGTAACAAAAATATCTGAGGTAAATTTAAACGTAAATTCAGTTTGTTCTGGCCACAAACATAAATTAGGTTGATTTCAAACGTATTTCATGTTTGAAGTCATGTGAAATCAATGTTTAAAATAAAAATAATGTTACGTTTATTTCAAAAATATTCGTGTTGAAAATAAACGTATTTATTTTTGTTTGGTTTGACAGCTATGCGAACAATAATAAATATGTTTATTTTAAACATGCTTCTCATGTTTAAAATAAACACATTTACATATTTTGGAATTATTTTAGTAGTTGAGTGCAGGGTAAAGCAAAATAAAACGGTTGGCAAAGAAATGAAAAAAAAGATCTTCGGGCAGGGCATCTTAATTCCAGTTCTTTTTTCGGGTGCGATTAAGGGTGACCTGTGGGTATTGGGGTCCTGGCCCGGGATGCGAGGACCCGTCGGGGTGGGTGTCCGGGGGTTCCAGTTCAGTGGAACCGGTGCAAATTTGTGTTATTAGCGTCGTTTTGCCGTTTCTGCCTCGGTTTCTGCCACTGGTCCTCATACCGGTTTCTTCCCATGTTCGGTATAGGAGGAGGATCCGGAATGGATTCGGAATGGATGGCCGTTTTCTGTTGAGGTTGAGCAAAGCTGGGGCAACTTTTTCCGAATGTAACAAGAAGGAAATAAAAAGGCATGACACGCTAAAAACCGTTTACCCAAATCCTATATTGTTGAAATAAACATTTAATTCAAACATAAATATTTTAATTTTTAACACGCTTTCAATTTACTTTGAATAATTCATATGTTTAGAGTATAAACATTTATATTTTTGTTTTAAATAAACAAAATTCGTATCCGTGTACAATATAGGCCCAAGAATGCTACCCTGAGGAACTCCTGCTCTAACAGGAAGTCGATTAGATTTGGAATTTTGATAATTTACCTGCAGAGCTCTGTCAGTTAAATAATTTTGAACTAATTTCATAATATA